TTTTTCAATAATTCCGGCTTTTGAGTGTCCACTAGAGCTGAAATATAATGCCGGATTCAGAATTCATAATATTTTCAGGCTCCTTATCTTAAGTGTCGGCGGGTGAATTTATCAATCTTCTGTCGTGATAGATAAACACATTTCAATATTAGAGTTGTACTCATCTTGACACCATCATTGGATGGGTTTTCTGTTGCTAAAATTCAAATACTGCCAGTGTAAGTAATCTAATGTTAAAGGTTATTTAAAAAACACAAGAACAGGTAATCTTCTGATCACTTATCATAAATATTATAAGCTTAAGTACCGTGTGAAGCATAGGGATTTATGTATGACTACAGATACATTACAAATACCGGCATACTTAACATTTGAAAACAGTAAGTGGGCTACCATGTACTATTCTGATTGAAGGTTTGAAACTTTCATTTCGGACTTATGGTAGATAACCTTTACACATATATATGCACAAAACAACAACAACAACAACAACGACAATGAATAAAAGAACAACCTCTCTCTCTTAAAAATAATTGGGGGTCAAGGTATTACATGTCCGAGGCATATCATTGTTCTATAATTTTACTAAAAGCAGCAGACGATTAATTGGGCGTGAAGTACTGTAAAGTAGTTAGTTACTTGGTGATGGCTTTTTCTGGGAACAACAGTATTTGAGTTATTTGCGTTGATTTTCGTCAGAATTTGTGATACGTTCTAATTATTGGTATGAACAGATTTGGTATGATCAACTTTAACATGGTACAGAAAACCTGTCTTGTTCACTCTGTGAGTCCTCTTCTGTTACTACATTATATAGCAATTGTATTACAATTATGGACTTTAGCACGGCCCAAAGTAAATGTTAATTCCGTATGGACAGTGTGTAAAGACTGGAGTATACCTCAGTATAGAGCTAAGTCAATGAGTGTTTGTTCTGTGTGTAATTTGTTCCCTAAAATATTAATGGTACATTATCTACAGCATGTACCAATTTTTGTATTGTAAAGTTACACCAAGTTTTACATATGGCGCAGAGATTCGGGGGAGCAGATATGTTGGATCTTTTGAAAAAGTACAAACTGCGTTTTCAAAAATTCCATCTTGTTGGAATATTTGCATTTAAAACAGAACAATGTTTTGTGGAGAATAGTACCGTTGACATTTTTGTATATAGTGTAACTAGAGTTGAGAATCTGTGGATAAAGTTACTTAAGATTGTAAGAGTATATATATGCAAGTGTTATGTGTTACTTATAAAGCTGGTACACCTATTGGGAAGCCAAGTTCAGGCGTATGTTACAACATACTTGAGATGGCACACGTCTGTATATCAAGTAAACCAATGCTGGAAGGACATCTGTTTTCCTCAAGAATGCCACGAATCTGTCGGTGTCTTCAAAATACCTGACACATTACCTTGGTATTAAATCTTTACTCCAACTTAAGTAACAAGTATCTGTGACTAATCACTAATAAGCGGCTGTTGTAAATTCAGGATTCGCAAGTAAGGTTTATGTATGTATGATCGTTGTGCGATATCTTTGAAAGTGTTTGCAACGGATATGCTAAATTGATTTTAATGTATCTCTCTTTGTTATGAAATTGCGTCGGAAGAAGTATACTTTAGCAAACCTGTTACATTTTGCAAATTGCTGAATGGTAATGAAAGAATCAGTTTACTTTAAACATGTATTTTCAAATTTCGTGACCCATGTATTTATTCAAATACATCATGGGCCGCTTGGTCAGACAGCCGAAGCTACAGGCTCTGACTCAGGGTCTCGGGATGATGTGAAGCCCGCAGTTCTGGCCGGCATAGAAGGTCTGGAGGTCTGGAGTATGTTAAAACAGGTTATTTACCAAGTACAAACCAGTACATATTCTGTAGAATTTCTCTTACAAATTGAATACGTTGATGTCAACAGAGATCATAAGTTGATACAAAACACACATGCACAGAGATCAAGAAAGTGTGATATTGGATCTGTTGTTTCAGAGAACTGACACACGTCCAACCGCGCGTAGATGGCCTACCCATGTACTGTATCACTTCTATTGACTATTGACTATTTTATTACTCAAAAAACCACCTTCGGTGGTACAAGAGCATATATTACAGAATTCAAGTTCAATTCATATGCATGCGTCTTAGATAGACAACGGAATACAATAAATAATTCTTTATACATATGTGCAGTTCCCTATACATAAATAAGTGCATATATTAACAGGTAGATAAATACAAACGCTTATTAAAGATTGGCAAGCATTTTTTGCAACTGTATGATAAAATTTGATAAACATTTCTTATATCTAGTAGTAGTCGGCGAAAGAACAAAGACTAATTTAGATATATTGTTAAGACATTTTGTGGTGGGTATATATTGTTCACGATATGAATTTAGTGCTGGACATTTAAGAATATAGTGTAATTCATCACCGATTGCATTTAAGTTACAAAGTGTACAATATCTTTCATCCCTCGGTATACTTTGCCATCTTCCAGTTTCAATTGGCAGGGTAACATTTAAGGTTCTAAATTTTAAAATAGGAACAGAAACATATTTCGTTGAAAGTAGGTATTTTTAGTAGTATATGTTAGTTTGTGCCAAAAGGATAACATACGTTGGTATATTTTTATAGATATTGGAGTTCTGCCAAATTCGCCGTAAACCATGAAATGTGGCGTAGATTTTCTTAGCCCAGATGCAAGTTTCCGAAATTTTAGATGTATATTCTCTATTAGGTCAAGTTTTTCAAATCCCCACACTTCTTATCCATAGGTTAAAATAGGTGTTATACGTCTAAATACGTTGTTCTTGGGGGTGGGGGTTGTTCTTGTTGTTTTGCTATTCTGTGTTTTTGTCATGCTCATATATTACGCTGTAAGTTCTCCGATAACACGATGGAGTATTTCAGCATTATTCCTCCCGCTGATCTGGTGAGATCCACTAACCACCCTGTGTGTTAGGACGGCAGTGACCCGCTTCACACTGGCTACTTGAGGACAGGTGAGGATATGGTAATGTACTCCTCTTGGTTGGTTTTGAAAACGTAATAGTCACTGAAATGCTTCGAAATGCGTTGAAATAGTTTTCAGTGGCCGGCTAGCGGCGCGTCATTACATCAGATAATGATTTATCATATAGGTAGAGCGTGTTGGTGTCTTTGACAACACCTGCACAGAACGTTTAGGGGCAGCTGAACCGAACTGAACTTTAATACTTTCAGGTCGTGGTCCACGGCATTACAAGAACAAAATATATACATTTATAATATAGGTGCTGACTACGATAGCATTCTGAAGACAGGCAGACTAGCAACATCAAAACAAATACAGACAATTATAAGATATAAGTTAACATGGTATCGAAATGTTTGCAGAATAATTTTACAAAAGGGACTTAATTTTTTTAACCATCCCATCTTCTTAATGGATAGCACAATGTGTGAAGCCCATTTCTGGTGTCCCCCGCCGTGATGTGGCTGGAATATTGCTAAAAGCGGCGTAAAACCAAACTCAGTCAGTCAGTCAGTCTTAATGGATAGTAGCAAGACAAAATTCGTGTATCGTTAATATAACGGTATGCAAATATTTCTCTGTTCTCAAAATATAATGAAACTCGTCAGTGATATATCTTGTGTCATATATGGGCGTAATCCATTTGCTGATGGTATTTTGATCCAATTCGAAAATGGCATATTGGTATTCTGGATTTATTTTCCAAAATGTTAAGATATGGCATAAACAATATTTAGAATTCAAAATTGAAGTAGCTTATATCTATATGATCACTTTATTCAGAATTGAAGGCCATGTGGTCAAGAGTACAACAGGTAATACAACATTGTCATGGTGTGTAGAGTTGAAATATAATTCATAATACAATTATTTTAACGTAGGTTTTGCTTCAGGAATATACATATTCCTTTAAGAACAGTGACACTGTGTATCTTCATAAGGGCTCGGAATTTGACAATTGAAGGTGGGTTGTAGAAATAGGCTGGAATACATTGGGATCTGCATCGGTTATAAAATGGGCTTATAAAATAGCTTATATGTAGTACAAATGTAGGTGTTTTCTATTTCGTTTCTCCATACTACATTTGGGATACAAGGATGTGCTCACGAAACGCTCAGAAACCATAAACTACCTGACTCTCTGAATATCTCGCTTGACTAGGGCGTGGCAAGCCAGGATTACTCACAAATTTCATTCCATTTTGAAAACATCGAAAATACTTCAGGATGGCAAATGTATGTTACCTCACGGTTATACGTAAAGCATTTCTATTTGATCATTTTGAAACTTCAGTTCTTCAGTACTTGCTTGTGAACATAATAACGTTTGAGACAACGCATACTTTCACTGATATTAAGTCAGGGCTTATTCACATTTCCATTTCCATGTGTTGCTTGGAAACAGAGATACACAAGGAAGAAGTATACATAGCAGAAGACAGCACGAGTGTGGTCTGAGGTTCTAGAGAACTGCAGTAGTCTTTAGTGATATATGATTGCCAAGCATTTCAAACCAGATTAGTGTTCCATTAAATCAAATGGTAAATGTTCTGAAAGTACTGAGTGTAACTGATTGTATATGGCCCCTGGGATGACAAACACTTCACTACTCGCACTGCTTCTGAATGATATAGCGCGAGTCTTGGAGGTTGTGAGTATAGCATTGGGACTAGCAAGTCTAATACTGGCGATGGATTTAAAGCAAAACGTAATTTGTCAGGATTTCAAAGTCAGAAGTTACTATTAAGCAGTTCATTTTCATTTAAGGAACACAAAACTTTATAGACATTTGAAACAAAGCAGTTTTATTTTGTAAATCAACGTATTGCACAAATAACGACTGACAACAATACAGTAAGAAAGTCATACCTCGTTATACACAGGGGTAGATACCAGATTGACGTTGGCGGAGGGTTACCCTCACTCTGTTACCTCGTTATACACAGGGGTAGATACCAGATTGACGTTGGCGGAGGGTTACCCTCACTCTGTTCACAGGTTACATACCAGATTCAGTGTACACCGTTCATCACATGTTGACAATACACCACGTCTGCCATGATAGCACTTCTTGATGCCGCCCACACAGGGACACGCTTCACCCTGTACCAAACTTCAGTATCACATAAGTCAATTTTGTCTCTCCTTCTTCACCCGCTTCTTTGAGATCGGTTTGTCGTCAGGTTCTGTGGCTTTCCTCTTGGTGACCGTGTCCCCCTGGTCGTCAAGCAATGTCTGTAGGTGCTTGATGTACTGGATGGCGGCACGGAGGGTCTCCACTTTGCTGATCCTCCTCTCCTTGTTGTCAAGTGGCAAGTGCTCCTTCAGCCGCTCGTACCCATCGTTCACACACCGCACCCTCTCCCTCTCGCGCTCGTTCCGTTTCCTGATAAATGAAGGTTCGAGTCCGGAATCTAGTGTAAACTGTGTTGGGACTGGGATCATACACACTGGAGAAAAAGGGTTGCTCTTCATGGACTCGTATCTAATACCATCGATGTGAAGTCCACTACCGCGGATGAGACCGCGACGACAAAAAGAGTAGGCTATGTCCTCAGCTTCTGTAGGGATACCCAGGTCCTCACACGTCGGGGAGGTCATCTTCACGGGATTTAGGTCAATGTAGTTGTTCAACGTATATCTCTGCATTATTTGTCTTCTTAGAAATATCTGAAAATCGATCATTTTGATGTTAGATAATGAAATGAGTGAACTGTTGGTAAATGTGTATGGTGTTTACAACACAGTTCCCAACCTGGGCATATTGTAGCAGGGCATATAGAAGGGTACGGACATCGCGCTGATAATATATAATTGGGACTATTTCATCATAAGTTCTTACTTACGAAGGATCCGCAATATAAGTTTCCAACGTCTTATTAAACATCTTATATATACATATATATAGCAGTTTGTTTCGTTTACATATTGACATGCATTGGATTTTCACAAATTTCACAAATGAGTCCTAGATTTTTTTACAAATCTATAAGCTAATATTTACTGGTTTGTTTAGTGAACATGACATGTCCTAAAATGCAAGAATTCAGTGACTATAAATTGTTCATAACGTATTATATTACTCAGTTTGGAACCGTGTACAATAACTTATTATAATAAAGTGAACACTTTCCTACTTCCTCTATTCTATTGGCTGTAAATAATCAAATGTGCATAAACAAAACTGCCAACAAAATCAAAAACCTACAATTATTCTATCAAAGCTAAATAATCGTAGAAACACACGAATCACGAAATAACCTATATACAAATACAATGATTGTATTCCAATAAGTTGGCTCTTGTTTAATACGACTGACAGGAAGTACAAATATAACGATCAAATATAAATTTACCTTTGTTGATTGTGTTACAACGTTTCTTCCAGGTATCACGCCCAAGCCGTTTCACTGATTATTTGTTACGTTGGTGCTAATTTCATTCAAGGTTAACCATCAATTTATATGCTCCGACGTGAAAAATACAGCTCCGCCCTAGCTGATTGTCATATCTGATACGCCGGCCTCGCGGCCTCTGATTGGTCAGCCCGTTGTTCCGATCTACAGGTATTGAAGCAGCCATCAGCTAGCCTCGGCTCTCGCCTCCGGGAAGGGGATTAATAGAGAGATTAGTACTTTTAGTGTCAATGAGTGTTAAATGAAAGACGCCTAGGATTAAAGATTAATTTTTTAAGACGCATGTTTAAAACAGAAAGCAAATGGCACACTTACCAATCAAGCTTTTGTTTCTAACTGCCATTGGAGATAGTTCATTGTATCGTCAGGTGCGATAGACCCGTGTCAGCTCACAAATTCAAGCGTTCACTGGCAGGCACAGTTTGTATTTAAAAGAAAATATTTTAAAAGCTTTAAACGATTATCAGTAATTAAATAAACACGGAATATTTTACCTTTTATTTTAGCACTGGACGCCAGCACCTCGCAGATGTCCACATAATAGACACTATACTCAAGCCAGTGAAAACTTACATACGAATGCATCCATACTTGCCATCACTGTTGTTCCCATATGTCATATAGACAGAGCATCCCTGAATCTAACACTGGAAGCTCAACCGTGTACATGCGTCTTGGTATAACAGTACCTGCCACTGGGCGAGCTTGTATGCTGTCGTCATCGTATCCCAATTGCGTAGATATATGCGCATGCTGTTGATCACTGGATTGTCTGGTCCACACTCGATTATTTACAGACCCCCGTCATATAGATGGAATATTGCTGAGTGCGGCGCAAAACTAAACTCACTCACCCACTCACTCACTCACCTATGTTACCAACCTTTACGTTGTATGTAGTTCCTGGCATGAAACACTGCAGTCCTGTATAACTATTTAACAAACACTGGGAAGCTTCACTGTTTATTGAAAACAATGCAAGACTCAAAGCAAGTTTGCAATTAATATTATTGATTCTACGGGCAGTTAAAATACAATAACAGATGTAGAAATATCCATTTTCTACTTGTGCCGAGTCAACACCAGGATCCAGTAAAGAAACCATGACCACAAACCAGGAACAACGGTATAACAAAAGATTAACCCCACGGACCTGACACCGACCAAAATAAACAGGAAGGAATGACCATGACAAAGACCCACACACAGACCCCATATGACCAATCACATGAAGACAGCCCCATAACACACCATAACACATGACCCCATCAACACAAGGAGACCCCAACACCATATAACATGACCCCACAGAGACACCATGGAATGGAGACCACACCATAACACAGACCCCACATGGAACCCCAACCAACATGGACCCGAGACCACACAACCCCAGCACCCAGGAGGTGGAGGTGACACCAAGACCAAGGACACAGACACCCCAGGACAACGAGACCAAGGACACACTGGACACAGTGGACGAGACCAGGAGGCACTGAGTGAGGTGGTGGAGACACACCAGTGGTGAGACCAAGGTGGTGACACCAGCACCACACCGGAGACACACCAAGGACACAGACACACAGGACACCAGGTGGTGACACCAAGGAGGTGACACCAGGAAAAATAACAGTGACCACACCACACCACACACCACACACCAGGACACTGTGGTGAGACACTGTGGTGGTGAGACCAAGGACAGACCACACCAAGACACAAGTGGACACCAGGTGGAGACACCAAGGAGGCACACCGTGGCACCCAGGACACCAGACCAAGGACACCGACCAGAGGCACACGGATCCATAATCAACGGAGACACCGGACGACACCAAGGTGGAGACACACCACACCAGACACCAGGACACTGGCACACCAGACACACCGGGAGGCACACAGTGGTGACGGTGACACCAAGACACCAAGGAGGCACCAGTGAGGTGACACACAAGTGGTGGACACCGAGACACTGCACACCGTGACACACCAGGCACACCATGGACAATCACACCAAGTGGCACACCAGTGGTGAGGCACACCAAGGAGGTGACACCCCAGGTGGTGACACCAAAAACCATGTCATTTCGACAGTAACTTGATAACTGTATGCAAAAGTCTGTATTCACCAAAATCATCGACTGGTACTCTAAATACCCTTAATCGATATCCAATATCAAATTCGTACACGTGCTATCAATTTCTAGATTAGAGTTTTTTTCGGGTGACGGGCGGGTATTATCTGACGGTAGTCCGTGCTTCCCACCCATTCATCATAACGGAGGTTATACCGTCCCACCTTGTCCCCTCTAGGGGCGTGTCCGGCACGCGACCAGGCGCTAGGGACTTTCTGTTGCGTTTCATCACAGCCAGGGGGAAGATTGTGTTTCAGCGTGGTCTACTGGCATACTGCTTGGTAGGGACATTCCACCATTGTTGATGGCATGTTCTTGGGAAAGTGATCTTGGACTGAGTGCTTGTGCACAATGCTACTGTCTGTCAACGTTGTAGCACAGGTGTAAAGCCGCCTCAGGTGTGCCGGGCTACCCACGTCTCTCACAGCTGATTCAGCCTCCTCGTGGACAGGTTCATAAAAGCTCGACTCATACATAAGTTGCCATATTTTCAGCTTTTCTGAATCAAAATATTCCAATGTACATATAAATCTTTTTGGAATACTTGTATAGAAAATATACACTTAGTAAACTGCCAGTATCAACGAATGCAAGTGCTAGTCAGTTCCTGTCAGTTCCTAGTCAGCAATGATAAATCACACACGCTTGTAATTCATTTGACAATGAATGTTTTAGACACACTACCCACATTACTTTACAGACGGAAGTCTTGGAAGATATCTTTTATAAGCGGAAGTCTTCAATAAATAGCAACAATTCAAAGATACCAGTTAAAGATATCTGTATTTAACTGCAAGATACCAGGAACTGAGTTAGGGATAGTAACACCTCACCACGACTGTATACACCCCTCTACCACAGTATATATCACACAATATAACATGTGATTATACCGAGAGACTGAGAAACTACACAATATAACATGTGATTATACCGAGAGACTGAGAAACTACACAATATAACATGTGATTATACCGAGAGACTGAGAAACTACACAACTGCACAATATAACGTGATTATACCAAGAGACTGAGAAACTACACAATATAACATGTGATTATACCGAGAGACTGAGAAACTACACAATATAACATGTGATTATACCTAGAGACTGAGAAACTACACAATATAACATGTGATTATACCGAGAGACTGAGAAACTACACAATATAACATGTGGTTATACCGAGACTGAGAAACTACACAATATAACATGTGATTATACCGAGACTGAGAAACTTAACGTATTATACCGAGAGACTGAGAAACTGCACAATATAACATGTGGTTATACCGAGAGACTGAGAAACTACACAATATAACATGTGATTATACCGAGAGACTGAGAAACTACACAATATAACATGTGATTATACCGAGAGACTGAGAAACTACACAATATAACATGTGATTATACCGAGAGACTGAGAAACTACACAATATAACATGTGGTTATACCGAGAGACTGAGAAACTACACAATATAACATGTGATTATACCGAGAGACTGAGAAACTACACAATATAACATGTGATTATACCGAGAGACTGAGAAACTACACAATATAACATGTGATTATACCGAGAGACTGAGAAACTACACAACATAACGTGATTATACCGAGAGACTGAGAAACTACACAATATAACATGTGATTATACCGAGAGACTGAGAAACTACACAATATAACATGTGATTATACCGAGAGACTGAGAAACTACACAATATAACATGATTATACCGAGAGACTGAGAAACTACACAATATAACATGTGATTATACCGAGAGACTGAGAAACTACACAATATAACATGTGATTATACCGAGAGACTGAGAAACTACACAATATAACATGTGATTATACCGAGAGACTGAGAAACTACACAATATAACATGTGGTTATACCGAGAGACTGAGAAACTACACAATATAACATGTGGTTATACCGAGAGACTGAGAAACTACACAATATAACATAATGGTTATACCGAGACATGTGGTTATACCGAGAGACTGAGAAACTACACAATATAACATGTGGTTATACCGAGAGACTGAGAAACTACACAATATAACATGTGGTTATACCGAGAGACTGAGAAACTACACAATATAACATGTGGTTATACCGAGAGACTGAGAAACTACACAATATAACATGTGGTTATACCGAGAGACTGAGAAACTACACAATATAACATGTGGTTATACCGAGAGACTGAGAAACTACACAATATAACATGTGGTTATACCGAGAGACTGAGAAACTACACAATATAACATGTGATTATACCGAGAGACTGAGAAACTACACAATATAACATGTGATTATACCGAGAGACTGAGAAACTACACAATATAACATGTGGTTATACCGAGAGACTGAGAAACTACACAATATAACATGTGGTTATACCGAGAGACTGAGAAACTACACAATATAACATGTGATTATACCGAGAGACTGAGAAACTACACAATATAACATGTGATTATACCGAGAGACTGAGAAACTACACAATGTGGCGTGATTATTCGAGACTGAAAAGCCACACAATAAAGCATGCATGTTATTTTACCTAGATACTGAGCCGAACAAAGAGATAAAGCGGGCTCTTAAACACCCCGTAGTGACTATACCATTATCTAGAAAGAAAATCTAAAGCATATCAAAACAAACAATTCTCCCAAATGAGGCACAGTAAGCACCAAAATTCAAATTCCTAAAAATTATATTTTGAAAAAAACACACTAAAAAGACTTTAAAAAATCTACCATAAATCTAAACAAGTTGGCAGAGCATTAACTAAATTACATACGTGCCAGGCACAATTAAATTCCCAACTACATAAAAAAATACACCCACAAAAACCAGCAAACGGGCAGGGTACACTAACACTCAGCTAGCACTACAAACCCTCCTATGTATAAAACAACCAAACCTTCAAAGCCTTATATTTCTATTCAAAACCGGCCTTTTTGATCGCGTATAATTACCTATAACCAACTAGTACCTATAAGTTACAACCAACTCCCCAACGTACCCCCGCGCCCCTAAAAACAAGACAACAACAAACAAAACAAGAAAAAAACCACGTAAGCTGATAAAAATATCTATATAAAAAAGACTGAAAAGATTATGTGAAGACTCCCAGAAATGAGCATGGCTCAAAACGAAATTGAGAGCATATCTTTTACCACGCATGGGTTTGCACGTAAGCAATTTGATTAAAGTGGATGATCTTGTTCCATAAAATCTTTAAGTAAAACCAAATAAGATTAACCTAACCCTATTACAGTTCCCCAACAAGATGTGAACCATTTTGTTGCAGACAGACGATTTATACGAAGATCACACGTCCCGCCGACTGGTGTAATCTCCCTGTCTGTTGCCCAGTCCGCCTATCGCTGTGGAGTTGGTCTAGTGGTCATTAGGCAACATTCAGCATATTAAGTCACATAAGTATGCTAAAAGTATACCTGATTAAAGAGACAAAATACAATTGTGTCTCGAAATGAGCTACAATGATTCTTGTATCCTTGTAACAATAATCGTCAAGGATCGCCGGTCATGGCGTTAATTCCATCTCATTAGAACCCGGTAAATGGTGATTTTCAGTGATGAAACAATAATTCCTTC